GTGATCCTCGAAATGTACCAAAGCCTGGTCTTTTCTAATCCTTTCCACTCTGCTAACATCCCTTCCGCCACTTCGCTTCTCGTTGTCAAAATAAAGATCAATGGTGTGATTGCTTGATTCTCTCTTCAATCCCGTGACCAGAATACACGAACAGACTGGTACTCTTTCTAGGCGAGGTTTCTTTCCCTCTAGGCCTTTTTTGTCTTTGTTAACTTTATGCAAGAGTGATTCAAAGTCTGAAATAGATAATATGTGGAGAACAGTGATATTACCACGTGTGTAATTGACAGTGTAAAGGTTTTGACTAGTTTTGACATAAAGAGCTTACCAATTTTTCAATTAATACACATGAAAATCGGTGTTTCCTACTGTAACTTGTAACTTCTATTAAAGATATATCAACCAGAACAAGAAACGAATAAAAGTGTTGTCCTAGTTAAATGTGGCTTAAAGTATAACAAAGTTTAGAAAAAATGGTTGAGAATGATTAAGCAATAAAAACACTCCAAAACCAGTACTTTGCGAGTCGCAACTGGATGTTTATTCACGTTACTTCTTTTTTTTCTCTTACGCTTATAGTACTACAATACTTCTTTTTGCATATGAATCGACTTCAAAAACGAGATAGCCATTAAATTGTTGTCTAGTCTAACTATCATAAATTAAGCTTTTTTAATCTGGAAATTACCTAGTTCACTTTCAAAAACTGCCAGGGCATTATTCTTTACACCAAGATACACCTCTTCAACTTCAACATCAGCAAACTTTTCCAAATAAAAGGACAAAGTAACTTCAGTGGTCGTTTCGCTAATTCCTTGAACATGAAGTCTCAATGGATCAAGAGGCACTTTCTTCGGAGGCTGTCGCACCGCTGTTATTATTTGCCCTTCAATTATGTGTGGCTCCTCGTGAAGGTGCTGCAGGTCTATAACAAATATTATGATTTAAAATTTTAATGTAATCAAAATATTTAAATAAAACGATTAGGCTTAAGAACGTTTTCTACTTGCTTTCTTGACTTGTGTTGTGGATTTGTGAGCAATCCACGTAGCTCAACAAGAGTGTAAAGGATTGGAGCCTATTTTTATACTACTGGTATAGAACCTGATATTGAGGATACAGAAATAAATCTATAAATATCCACCTTACCTTTCTATGCTAATTTTTAAAAAAAGCCCTTAGCATAAGACTGGGCAAGTATAGGTAACTCGGAGTAAAACGGGAAGCTATCAACGCAGTAATCTTTAAAAGTAAATTGGAGAGTAATCTATCTAGGTTCAAAGCAGGCGGTCTAGGCTTGGTGCAGCTACCTAATGACTGACTTATATCGTGAAGCCACTTGTCGAGGACTCAGCCAGTTTTAGGATTTTCGTATACCGCGAAAGAAATTCGATCGCAACTGACACATAATATGATACTAAGTGACGGGTTGATAACCAAAGCAGACTTGCAATTTAACTTGTTTGAGACATTGGGTATCTCGGCAAGTGCTGCAATTGCAATGCCATTGACGATGAAGACGGTTCGACCGACCGGTCAATCACGTTTTTACAATAGAAAACAACCAACTGACCAAATATCACGTGATATTTGTACTCGATTTGTACATTATTTGTACTCTACTCAGTGAAGTTGGACAATAAGTCAATCAGGCAGTTTTTACACGATAAAGTTTATTTTTGTGGTATTCCTTGAAACGATAGTATTTCATATATCGAGCATTCTTGCTTCGAATGGCATTTTATGTTTTGGTTGCTTATAAACAAGATACATGCTGCATTGATGACCTACATGAATAAGGAAGGTTGCATTTGGCGACATAAAACCCGCAAGGAATTGCCTTGCTGTGAGAATTACATTTTTTGAAGATTTGAAGCTACTATTGTGTGTGTTATCGCGCAAAGTTACATACCGAAAGGCAGTCATACATAAGGCAATACTGTAAGGCGAGCACGTGAAAGCGCATATGAACTCATCACGAAATTCATTCAAATTGACAAACCTACGCAAAACCTTTTTCCGCGCTAACCTTTCAAATGTTTACATATGTTCTTTTTCCCAATGCCCAGTTACGATAGTTACCTGAAATGCGAATGCACTTTTCATACTGGCCTCAACTGGCGTTGAATAGAACATAAAAATTGGAAGTATATAATTAGCGCAATTTTGCTCGTTTTATCAGGAAAACCAGAGACTAAAATCCGTGGACTGCTCATTTCAAGTTCCTCAAGATCGAAACATGTTTGTTCATGATTCAGAAGAATATCTTTCGATCCCGTCAGAGAGACGGAAAGGCAAATTATTCTAAGAAAGGGGTTTCCTAAATTACTAAAGCCGAGGAGGGACTTCCGACTTCGGACCTCCGACTTTCGGACTTTGTCAGAAGTCCGACGTTGGAAATGCGACGTCAGAAGTCCGAAGCCGGAAGTCGGAAGTCGGAAGTCGGAAGTCGGAAGTCGGAAGTCGGAAGTCGGAAGTCGGAAGTCGGAAGTCGGAAGTCCCACCTCAGCTTTCGTACCTGCTTAGTAGAAAGGTTTCATTTTCACAGGTGTTAGGATTACATATGATAATTAATGCTGTTCATGAATTATCTATGACACGTGATCTACCGCATATATTAGTTCTGTCGTTGTTCTGGTTTATGTTCGTTATTTCCCGCGCTGTAACTTACTTCAAAATAAATCTAGCTTTTCTAACAGGTTATGGGCCCAGGACGTTAAACCAATGATGTAAGTTACGTGATTGTTATTTTGCCTAAGCGTATGACGGAGATGTCATTGTCAGAGATCACATAGATCGAAAAGTTGAACGGGAGAAATTACCAGTCATGGAAGTACAACGTGAAGCTCATTTTAATGGAGCGTGGTTTATGGGGTTTCACTCAAGAAGGCCAAGAAAGTCCTCTTGCAGCTGATGCGTCTGCAACTGTGAAGAGTGCTTTTCGCCTTCGATCCGACAAAGCTTATTCGCTTATTGCTTTGAACGTGGAGAAAGATTTCCAAGTTCACATAACGTCAACAACAGATCCACTCGCCGCGTGGAAAATTTTGCAGAAGCAATTCGAATTTGTGTCAGTCACTCAGATTGTTCGTTTTAATCGCAAGTTTTACGCAGCAAGTATGAAGGAAGGCGCAGACTTGATGCAACATTTTACTCACATGACTTCCCTAGCGGAACAATTGCGAGAAAAGAATGAAGAAATCTCGTCGAAGAAATTTGCTACGGTCGTGTTAGGAAGTTTACCCGACTCGTATGATAATTTCCTGACAAGTTTAAACGCTAGAAGTGCCAATGATCTCGACTGGGAAAATGTTAAAGGATTATTGATTGAAGAGTATATGAAGCGTTCTTAGAAAAACGAGAAACAAGAGTCTGATAATGCACTTTTTGTCAGCAAAGGGAAATCGTCGTACCGCGGAAATTTTCAAACACGTGGTGGAGCTGGTCGCGGTCGCGTTCGCAGTGGCCGATTTCAGAATTTTTACTTCAATCCTCAAGCAAGCTATAATGATCGTGATAAACACATAGATTTTAAGTGCTTCAAGTGCAACCAGGATGGACATATCGTAAAGAACTGTCCGTATAACAATAAACAGTACACTGGTAAAGGAGAAAGTTCCAATATGGCCGAACTCGAAGGAGTTGCACTAATCTCAAGCACGATGAATAAGTCAAATGAATGGTTCATTGACTCAGCAGCAACAAAAGCATTTTAGAGAACTATGTTCAGTACCAAGAACCCAAAAGTATTTACCTGGGCGACAGCACAATAATTCTTGCATATGGCGAAGGAAAAGTCAAACTCCAAACAGTAAACAATACCCGTAGAGTTGTTCTTGACTAACATCAAGTGTTGTTTGTACCAAAACTGACCGAGAATTTACTTTCAGTACCTGCAGTAATGGGAGCAAAAATTAACTTCGACAAGGATAAATGTTTAGTACGGAAGAATAGCCAAGAATTTGTTATTAGAAGTCTATTGCGTGACAAGCTATACACAGTCAATTCTGCCGAGTACGCTCAAGTTTCAACAGCAAGCAGTGCACCATCACCTACACTTTGGCATCTTCGGTTAAGTCATCTCAATTATACAACTAATGAAAAAGGAAATGGTTTATGGACTGAATTATGATATTGACACCCGATCTCGCAAAGAGTGTAAAGCATGTATTCTGGGGAAAATGCAGAAGAAGCCCTTCCCAAAACAGAGCCAACACAGGGCAAGCAAACCATATGAAATTGTACACAGCGATGTATGTGGCCAAATGCAAGTGGAATCAAAAGGCGGCAGTAAATATATACTAACATTCACAGACGATTTTTCACGTTACACCACTGCTTACTTCATTAAATCCAAGAGTGAAGTGCTTTCAAAATTCATCGATATGTAAATTCTGTTGAGAAACATACTGGTCATCAGATTATGAAACTGAATATTCTCGCAGAGGAAGATGTTAAAGTCCTGAGAAGTGATAATGGGGAAGAGTACACTTCCGACAAGTTCACTAAATTCTGTGCAGACAAGGGAATCTTGCACGAGTTCACTGTTCCATATTGTCCACAGCAAAATGGTGTTGCTGAACGATTCAATCGTACAATAATGGAGGGAGCAAGATCGATGCTCTACCAAGCCAAATTACCGCTGGATTTTTGGGCAGAAGGCTGTAGCACAGTAGTTTACCTTCACAATCGAAGTCCAACAACAGCATCGAAGGATAAAATTCAATTTCAGCGTTTATTTTGCAGAAGACCAGACATTTCTAATCTGAGAGTTTTTGGTTGTGTGAGTTATGTACATGACCCAGATAATCAGCGCAGAAAGCTGGATGCTAAGACCCACAGAGCAATTTTTGTTGGTTATCCTCCTGGCGTTAAGGGTTACAAGTTGTATGATTTGGAGAAGAAAAAGTTTATATAAGTCGCAATGTTCATTTTTTGGAAGAGAACTTTGATCATTCTGACGAGAAGGTCAAATCAGATGATGCTGGCCAAGCAGATTTGAAGTTCATTACGCCAGATATGAACCAAGAATATGAAGGTGTTCCAGTACCCCTCTTACCCGAAGCCCCTCAAGTTAAAGGCAATGTTAAACCTCCAGTTCAAGAGCATGTTGAACCAGCACCAGTGTAGAATGTTGAAACAGTGAGAGCACCGCTCAGAGAGAGCTCGAGAGAAGAAGAACCAGTTAGAAGAACATATGAAGATGCATTTATGGAAGAAGTCCAAAACTTAGGACCAGTGAGGCAGCGAAGGATGCCGAACAGACTCCAAGATTATGATTGCCCATTTGTTGAATCAGAAATTGACGATCCAAGCACGATTCATGAAGCATTGAATGGTAAACGTTCTGACCAGTGGAAAGAAGCCATGAAGTCTGAATACTCATCTTTGATAAAGAATGATACATGGGAACTAGTGCCTCCACCTGAGGGAAAGAACATTGTTGGATCTCGCTGGGTCTTGAAAGTCAAGCGTAATGAAGATGGTTCCATAGATCGTTTCAATATCGCTGCAGCAGGTGGAGTCTTGTCCCAATATATGTCAAAGCCAAGCAAAGACCACTGGATGGGTGTGAAACGTGTTCTACGATACCTCAAAGGAACTTTTAATTATGGTCTGAAATTCTCTCTTCATGCCGAGCGAACCGAATTAAATGGCTACAGTGTTGCAGATTGGGCAGGAGATGTTGACACTCGAAGATCAACATCGGGCTATGCATTTCGGTTTGGAAATGGTACCATCAGTTGGTCCAGCAGAAAACAACCCACAGTTACTAAGTCTTCAACTGAAGCAGAGTACGTTGCTTTGAGTTCAGCCACTCAAGAAGCTATATGGCTACGTCGTTTAATGAAGGACTTAGGATAACAGACTGATGCCCCAACTACCATCGACGAAGACAATCAAGGAGCCATTGAGCTGGCAAGGAACGCTAAATACCATAACCGAACTAAGCACATTGACATTTGTCATCATTTTGTTCGAGAGAAAGTTGTTTCTAATGAAATAAGAGTGATTTATTGTCGTACTCAGGACATGGTGGCAGATATTATGACAAAGGGACTACCAAAACCTGCTTTTGAGAAATTGAGAGATTTATTACGCGTGTATGATGTTGTGTGATGAATTTTGTTTAGCTTTCTGGACGAAGTATTTCTTTTACCGAACAGGATAATCATCAAGTGGGATTGTTAGGATTACATATGATAATTAATGCTGTTTATGAATTATCTATGACACGTGATCTACCGCATTTATTAGTTCTGTCGTTGCTCTGGTTCATGTTCGTTATTTCCCGCGCTATAACTTACTTCAGAAATCTAGCTTTTCTAACAACAGGAAGCTGACTAGTTACCAAGATTTAACCTGGTGCACTATTAGCTCGTTAAAGCTCCACCCTGTTTCTTTTGTTATGTTTCTCAGAGAATTTCGTCACTGTTTGGGGAAATTCTGAGAAATAAAAAACGCCTCGGAAAGTAATATTTGATTGCTGAGAATGAATCATTTCAGTACTTCTATCACAAAATTCGTGAGGTTTTTGCTTTCAAAGTTCTTTACCGCATTGCAACTGCTTAATTACAAGGGGATTCCCCAGATTGCGAGGCAAAATTTAATAACAAGCCTCAGCGTTTCATGACCCTTTGTTTTGAGATGGTCTAGATTACCTTCTGGAAGATTCGGTAGGATCTCTCAAAGCAGAAGTAGGGTCCAGAAAAGCACTCTTTTTTTCACCAACAAAAATTTACTACAAACATAGAATACTTACCAAAGTTTCAGCTCCCAAATTGCTTCCCAATCATACGAAATCCTTGCTCGAAAATCGAGTATAACGCCACTAGCACCATCTTGAATACGCCGCCTTCTTGCGTGACGTCATTGAGCTCAACCTTGCTCTGAAACAAAGATGGCTGTCGTAGAACCGTATCACCTAGAGCTAAAACGTGTTCCCGAGGAGGAAAAGGCGTCTGAAAAATCGCTCAATGATGATAATGATGCGCCTGAAAGACTTAGCAGTTTGAACTGATCGATTGCGTTCGTAGTGAACTCAGAGAAACCACAAGAGAGTGCATCTGTTGTCTCGAACAGCCTGGATCGGTAAACAGGTTTGCAAATTTTATTTTATGAACTTTGTTCTTTTCTGCCCTTCAAAATGCATGCTACTATTCACCACCTTCGAATTTACTTGATTAAGACTAGTTCTGAAGACCCCTGTTGGGAATCGAGCCTTGCCAGAATCTGACATGTGTTATCATTTTCACGTCATACCTGACCATAATAAAGGTTCGAATTTCTTCTTACTTGTTTGTTTGTTTGTTTTTTCATGTCACTATTGCCGTTTTTTTTGTTTTTGTTTTTGTTTTTATAAAAACGATCTTTCAACGAACTTGTTGGAAATAAACATCGAAGGTGGTTCAGTTTTGAGCCTCAAATATCATAAAACAAGCTCTACTTAAATCATCGACTGTTTCAACACTATTAAATGTTGTGCTTTATTCATTACCTCACTAGCAAGAACAGTGTTGTGTTGTATCTCAAATCACAAAGAATCTACTATCATTTCCTTAAATCGGGATGTTTTAAGAACAGCACTTATTTTAAGCTAGGTTACATTATTGCAACAGATTGCCGGCACCTTCACTCATACAGACCCGGTAAGAAATTTATATGCTGGAACTGATATTTATTTTTAAGATAATAAAGAATGCATAAGGTGCCCCAGCTGAGAAAGAGTGATACATCTCAGCTTTTTGATCTGTATTCCATAATGAGCAGTAGTATTATCCTATTTAAAAAATAGTCACTTGAAGCTCTCAGTTCAATTAAATTCAGTTTTATTTAAACTCACACAAATAAAGTGTATTAGAGAAGGTTATAATTATTACAGTAGTGTTACAAACATCAATGTAAAGAATACAGTACCATAAGAAAACTGAAAAAGAAACCAAAATAATTTACAATTCATTGTTATTAAGGGTATCTAGGAAATAAAGAAGGACAGGGAGAAAAGAATATTTAAATACTAGTAGATTTAGTGATTTGTTTAACATTAATTGGTAATGAATTCCAGAGTGTGGTACCAATGTAATGAAGAGAACAACTACCATATTGAGTTGTTTGAACTGGGTTTACAAAGAGATTCTCATTCAGTGATTGATGTGTATAATATGAATGAACAGAAGATATTGGTTTAAAGTAATCAGTAAAACAAGGAGGAGTAATTTTCTGAGACCACTGCATCAATAAAAAAATGAAAGAATCTCAAGATGAATTATATATCAGAAAATTTTAAGAGGTTCAGA